GGCGGCGTGTCGTCTGTCGGTGTTGCTGCTGCTCTGTTTTTCTTTCTATCAGCAGCTGCTTTCTCCAGTGAAGCTCTCCGTCACTCTGCAGCTGTCGGCTAACAAGAGTTCAGATCTGCTTCCAGCTTTCAGTCACCCACTCAGCCGGCCTGACTCTCATTTCTTGCTCTGTTGGTCCTCTCTCTTTCTGTCTATCTTTACGTCATCTTCTTCCATATTCTTCATTTTCTCCCTCTTCCTCCTAGTCTCTCGTTCCAACTCTTTTTCACAACATCAGTAACACCCTTCAAACTCTACTCTTTCTCTTACCCTCTTTCTCTCCCTCGCCCAGTCCCAGGGGTTAACCAGTAAGGCCAACAGCACATGCTACAACAGCCGCGCTCTTGACAAGAAGAAGAACAAGACGACATTTTATCAACAGCCCGAAAGAGTAGACGTTAGTAGAAGTAATCAGCGGCTGCATTGCACTGGACCCCAATTCATCTTTCAGATGCACACATGTGTATAATGGTGTATCTCAACATGTGTGTGTGTGTGTGTTCAGGTCCATTCATCAGTTCAAAGTGAGTTTGTGTTGTTTTGGTTACAAAGCTGTTTCCACAATGACTGCCATGCTTTAAAAACTGTGTCAGGGAGACTTCTCAGCTTACAAACACTCCACTATCTTTAAATATGTCTGTGTGTTTGACAGCTTGTGTTGTGGGTAAACTTCAAGCATTTTTCCTCATGTCATTTCATGAATCTTGTTGAGTCTTTTTTCGTATGTGAAACAATGGAAACACATTGTCTGTACTGTAGCATGCTGCTAAAACAGAAGCATTTCAACAACAAACCTCTAATAAACCAACAAAACTCTAATAAAGTTATAACTAGTTCCTTTTTAAGGGGATGTCAGCCTTTTGTACCCTATATATATATTTTTTGTTTTTTAAACAATTTTGAGCTCGTTATGGCTGCACTGTTAAACAAAACTTAAAATACATCTTAACAAAACTTTGTGTTTTTCTAGAATTTAAAATCAGGTCCCTTGGGTTTGATTGATGCTCAGCTGCATGCACTTCTTCAAATGGTTGAGGCCGCTGTGTGTCCAGCAGGGCAGAGGAGGTTATTTTGGGGTGGGGGTTTCTTTCGGTGTGTGTGTGTGTGTGTGTGTGTGTGTGAATAAGTGTGCATCGTCAAATGCTACACAAATCCATTTAGTCGCCTCTCTGACATGGTATAAATAGCCTAAAGAGCAACAGGGGGATTCGCCTTCTATTATAAGTGTCTAAATATCAGCAGCTATTAGCCTGCTTGTCTCGCCGCGGCTGCTCGCCTCGTCCAAAACAGCATTACTCAACTGTCAGTCAGCCTCAGGCTCAGATGCTCATGATGCAGAAAATACAAACTGAATAAAAAAACACAACACACATATTAACTCACCAGGACAAAGCAGGTGAACGCTGCTGTTTCAACTGTATTGATTTCACTATTTTGTCCATATGGAGGAGAAAAAGGTAAAACATATAGAGACTTGTAAGATTAAGTAAAGGAATATTTTGGCTTTTTTGTAACAACACATATTTGCTTTCTGGGAGAGAGTAGATGAATCTAAGACTCTCTCATGTCTGCAGGCTAAATACGGAGGTACCGCGACCAGCTGGTTAGCTTAGCTTAGCACTAAGACTGGAAACACAAGAAAACAGCTCTCTGGCTCAAAATCTGCCAACCAGCACCTCTAAAGCTCACAGATTGACATGTTACCTCATATCTCATTTGTTTAATTGGTACAAACGTCAATGGCTGCGGTGTTGTTTGGCTCTGGGCAGTAACTTCCTGGAATCTATACTCATTGCCTGGCAACTAGAGTTTGGTGTGGAAAAACATGACTGACCTACCCAGAGACCTGACCTCAACCACATCCCACACTTTTGGGGATGAACTGCAACACCGACTACGAGCCTTATCTCTCAACATCAACGATCGACTTCACTAATGCTCCTGAGGCTGAATGGGTGCCCAGGAAGGATGCACATACTTTTGACCATATAGTAAACCTTCACAGCCTGACAAGAATAACATTTAGAGCAAGATTCTAGCATTAAACAAATCACCATATGTGCAAACACAATACAAGACTGTTATCTGCATGAGTTGAACTCTGCAGTGTGTGTGTGGGCTTGAGGATTGAGTGTGGGTGAGTTAGTTTATGTGTGTACAGTATTGATTAATTATGCATAAAACTCTCTTCATAACTGCACCGTAGAATTGTGTACTCTGCAAAAAAAAATTCTTATCACTGAGGACTGTGTGTGTACACAAGTCTGATAACTATAATTATTCACAACTATAAAGGCGTAGCGCTCCTTCCCCTCCACCGCCTCCAAATTCTGCTTATGACAGAGAATGAGAAATTGCAGCGGGGGAAAATGAATGCTCATGCAACACCAGAGCTCAGGGACGAGGAGAAAAATCTAAAACATCTGAGGCCATTTAAAAAATTTTTTCCTTATGATTATTCCATTTATTTATTTATTTTTGTTTTAAACCTAGTTTAAGTCTTTGAATCAACATATTATTATTTTTGTAAAAGCCACTTCCTTGTGTGTGTGTGTGTGTGTGTGTGTGTGCCCACAAGCCCGGTTGAATGCACTGTCTAGCAGGCCTAAACAGTCAATAGATGGAAACAATGCCAGACCTGACAAATCAATATAGAGCAATCATGAAGAGAGAATGATGATAATGACTTAAACAGATTGGGATCATAATCAATGGTTGGGCTAATTGTCCTCTATTACACAGCTGGTATCGGCACTTAGATTTAGCTGTACAATCAGCAGTAGAATGAGCTTCGTGTGAACTGAGACAGCGGAAAACATGGCGTCCAGGTTATCTGTGCATGTTCTGAGCTAAACAAATATCAACTACAGTTTTAGATAGTAAAATGTGAAGCGACAAAGCCTCGTGGGGGCTGTTCTTGTTGAATTCTATCAAATCAATTACTTCTTTTATTTTTATTTAAAAATCAGTGTTGTCAAATAATTTCAATATTGACATGTACAACTCCTCTATCACCGAAGAATATGAACACAAAACATCAGGATCATGTTTCAACTTTTCAGAGAGACTTATGAAAGAATCCCTATTAAATAATGGCAGGCACGTGCACACACAGACATAAAAAGGGGCTTCAGCACCTGCCCTTTTTCTTCTTCAAGAGAAAGTGCCCTTTTTTCTGGGGCTCTTTTTAAAATAACATAAATGAATATACAGTATATTTATTCCTGTTTTCGCTCAGCTTCCCTGTGAAACAAATATATTTATTGAATAAAAAAATCTAAATATCAGGTCAGAAGATGAGAGTTTGCCGAGTTCCTTTGCCCTCTCTCTCTCTCTCTCTCTCGCTTTCCCTTGTTCCGCGTCTCCCTCCAGCATCACACACAGACAGACAGGCAGCCGCCCCTCCCAGCTTCTGGCTTGTGTGGAGGTGAGTGGTGATGAACAATAGACTAAACTACCAGTGCATGGAGTTTACCGCTAATTAGACCACTAAAAGACAAAAGGCATATATGAGTCTATGTCTTGCTAACATTCATGACTCATGAGCTGAGCTAATGTAATAAGTTAGCTGAAGTTTAGCTAACGCCAAATCTCATGGCCATACAAACTAATGTACTGTACTTAATGGACACACTACAGTAACATTTGTGTCTAATAACGTCATCACAATTGCCACATTGAGTCATTATTCTAAATATATACTAGTAGCACATAAAGTTGTGGCATAGTTTTCTTTGCTGTTGCCTGCTCCTGTGATAAACCTAGGGAATACTAAAGAAGACCGCGGTCTCTGTGTGAACTGATTATTTTGTAGAAAAGTAAAATTGTTGAGTATGAGCCCTAACTAGCGCCACCATATGGCCAATATATATTCCAGCTAACAGTGAGGTTACAATAAATACTTTAAATCAGTGGCTACAAACAAGTATATTGTAATCCTGCTTAAATAATATTTTGTGACGATAGCACAACATCAGTACATAAACATTATTCATATGAGGTGACAGTCCTAACTTGCTCAGTAGGATCAGTAACAACAACTCATCCGACCCTGTATGTCATAATAACTGGAGAGAGAGAGAGCGAGAGAGAGAAAAGGAGAAGGAGGGAGGGAGGGGGAGAGCGGTAGATGAGAAAGCTGAATGCTACAAGAAGTCAGTGGGAAGGAAAGTTGAAGCTCCATGTTTTTCATTAAAACACTTCTCACACATAATTGATGTGTGTGTGTGTGTGTGTGTGTGTGTGTGTGTGTGTGTGTGTGTGAGAGAGACGGCGAGAGAAAGACTGATCAGGACACTCGATCACACTTCCTCCCTCAGCAGGAAACTGTTTCCTGTTGGCCTGTGGATGTTTAGGTTTCTGGCTCAGCATGGGTGTGTGTGTGTGTGTGTGTGTGTGTGGCAGCCTACAGTCCATGTCACATGTGGAGTTTATATGTTCACATCTCACACACCTGGCACTCACTCTCTATTTTTTCTCTTACCTCATTTTTCTCTCTTTCTCTCTTTTGCCTTTCATCTTGCCTTCTCTCCTCCTTCCCCTCCCTTTTTCATAACCCCCATCTTGTTTTCTGCCTCACCCTTTTTTAATTTCTCCTTTGTCCTTTGTGTCCCCTTGTCGGTCTTTTCCCCTTATTTTTCATTTGTCATTGCCTTTCTCTCTCCCTCCTCCGTCTGTTTTTCTTTTTTTGCCTCGTTCAGCTTCACTTGAACAGAAAATCACAACTCGACCACAGAAACACACATAGTTTGTCGTTCCAAACGCAAACACATCCCTCCCTCTCTTCCTCACACACCCCTTCAGCTGAGGCAGAGCTGACACACACACACACACACACACACACACACACACACACACACACACACACACACACATACATACATACACTAATAAACACATAAATTGCAGTGAGTTTTTCTGCGTTTTCTGCGGAATAGAATAGAATAGAAGATCTGACTGACCTGTTTGACGCGGTCTGGGTTGACGGTGGTCTGCGGCTGCAGGATGCTGACCGGCTCTGTCTTCTGGGTGCTCTGAGGCATCTCCCTCACCTTCTCAGCGATGAAGTCATGGACACCGTTCAGCGCTTCCACTGTCCCCTGGATCAGACACACCCGCTCTGTCGTCCCTGCATACACACACACACACACACACACACACAGACAGGTCAGTTTATGAGGTTAAACTGAAGGTACTCTCAACGTACTTGGAAAATATATAAGGAGCTTTTTAAACAAAAAGAGAAAAACAATAATACAAGCATGTTTTCATCAGCGGCTGCTATGCAAATATTCAAACGAGCGCTTGTTAAGTATTTTGTAACTCTGGCACATCACTGAATGTTATTGAAGACGAAGAAGTAGAAGAAGGAGAAGGAGAATAGGGCGAAGAACGATAATGATTTGTTCATGTTTATGTTGTTCAAATTGACATGTTCAAAATGTTTCCGCAGGTGGGTGGAAATACACAGAAGGCAGGTAAATATTTGATGTAGTACGGGAAATGCTCTCCCAATTCTGACATGAAAACTCACAACTATTTATCTATTTTCATCATTTTTATGTGCAGTTGAAAGTGAAACCAACCCTGGCTCATTTAAAAACAAAAATAAATATGAGATGAGAAAAGATACCAGGAAACTGTAATGATCCCTGCAGGGAAATTTCGCTGCTGCAAATATATAAAGTATAAAACTAATAAGAAATGTGTAAATATTATATTGCTTAAAGAGGGTTTACCACAGATTTTGGCTGAGATTGTGACAAAAAATACATCTTGATCAGTGCAAGACAGAGTAATAAAGCAAAGACAGACCAATGACACAAAGTCAGTCTGGACTGAAAGGTTAAGGTCTAAAATGAAAATAAAGGCCATAAAAATAGTTATTCTTGACCTCACAGGTAGAATGCAACATTCAGAAAACATTAGAGTTCATATTTCCACTGCATCTTCTTCTCCCGAACATATCAGAAACATTCAGTTTATGTCTGTTTCCAGGACTTTGTCCAATCAGGAAATTAATTCCCTTGTGACCTGAAAAATAAAAACATGCTGCTGTGATTTCCACAAAGTTGTGGAGGTTCAGAGGGTTTACACTCCACCTCTTCAGGAGGAACTAGGATTTATGTTCACTGAGAAATGCATTTACTAGCTCATGTGTTTGTGTGTGTGCATGAATGTACTACATGTTGTAGTTCATGCACTTCCTCACTCACCAGACACCCAGAATCCCAGTGTCGACAACATGATAAACTAAGCAACTCTATTGGAGGTCAAGAAGAAAATCTGACATAATTAAACAGTGCTAAAGTATATTTGAAATGAAATAGCGAGAATGACATTTTTCCTTCCACTTTGTTTGGATCCACAAAAGTTGGAATCATGGTCCTTTCTATACAAAGTCCAAATATTTGGGGATTCAAATTTCATAAAATACTAAAATTAACACAAGGGCTACAAGCACTTTACTGTTCACACACTGCACACAAAATCACCCTAAACACCATTAAGTACCATACCAGAGTGTTTTCTGGTTAGAACTTTGTTACAAATCATGTATAAATAATATTACTTGTTCGAGGCAGTAGTTGGTTTCCATTAATTTTCCTACAATATTAAAACCAATGAACAGACTCATAAAACTTGTTTCACTTGTAAAATTCATCACAGTATATCATCGTTGTGTAGTAATGCAGTATGTGCAAATGGAATTAACACATCTATACTGCATTACCTCATAACAATAATGTTTCTTTGTAAAAAGTCTTAATCATCACTTAGTGAATTAAACCAATGGCTGCCTGGAACAATAAAACATTGTCACACTTCTGCTAAAATATGCAGAACCACCAGAAAAGTGTGGCCCTAACCAACTGAAAATCAGCATGTTAACCTCATACTTAGTGTTTCAAGCCAAAACAATGCCAAATACGAAAGTATTATCACAGTTGTATGACTTCACTGTCTATGACAATGTTGCAGGTTTACATTTTAAGAGAATAAATACATCAGTGTTGGATCCAGAGAGAAAGACCAGTTTTGAAAGACAGACAGACAGACAGACAGACAGACAGACAGACAGACAGAGGGTATAACAGAGGAGAATCTAGGCCAATGCAAAGCCTCTCAGTCCGGCTATATCTCAACAACACACTGAAAGTCAATCTGTCTTTGGCTGTCCCTCTCTCTCACCATTTTAGCATTTATTCACTCTTTCTCTCCTCTGTTTTCCATTTTTCTTTCTCTCTTCCTCTTCCTTCCTCACAAACGTATCTCCCGTTTGTTCCCCCCCATTTCCTCTCCTCTTTTCCCTCTTCCTTCTCTCTCCCTCTCCCTTGACTCCAGTATTTAGTGGGATCTACTCTTATCTCAGCTCAGCAGCGTGTCAGTTAGCGCTTCCTGTCTCTTCCCTCTCCCTGCATTGTTGGACTGGCCTCGCTCGGCCCTCTGTGGCTGCACTGGAAGCAAAGGGATTGACGGAATGAAAGACAAAAGCTGTACAGTATGTGTGTATGTGGAGGGGGGAGGTGATGGTACATCATGGTAGACGGGAAGAGAGCTCAAGAAGCCAAATTAAAGGCACTTTTAATGCAGCCTAGAATCTAGAATTTTTTTCAGAAACAACACTGGTCAAAGCAGGCTGCAATGTCGAATTAAAAACAGTCCTAAATGTTAAAAATGTTCTTTGTCATGACTGAATTTAGGATTTTCTAATGCTTTTAATGGCCTAAATTGTGTACTTGAACCCCCTGTAGATGAAAAATTTAATGTTTAGCCTACAGGATGGAGCAGTTGAAACAACAGAGGCTAAAAATAAAACACACAGCATATTCAGGCATTTGCAGCATTTGGCTACCTGGCCAATCTGGATCTTTGTAACGCCTGTTAGCATTACAGTGAAATTAATTCCCATGCCTATTTTTACAGTCTGTTGACAGCAGTGACAAACAGTTTCTGTTGACAGCTGCTGAATGCTTCGCTTTGGCCGAGTGAGTGTGACAACTAGCTAACAAAAATTATGTTAGCATGACATTTCAGGTGTAGCCACATGCTAACACTTCGTTGATGAGCATTTCAGCCTAATTCTGCATTAAATTCAGCATTAGTGAGCAGAGTGACATGACCGGTGGAGTTTGTGTGTGCGTGTGCTGATACTGAGGAAACTGGGCTTTGCCTCTCACTGACAGCTGGTGCCCTCTGGGTAATCTGGACTTGTCCAATCAGAAGCAAGGATTAGCAGGCCATTGTCTTGGCATGAATGTGTGTTTCTCTTTATGTCTAGCTTGTGATTGTGTGTGCATGCATTTGTATGCGTGCATGATGAGTGTAAAGGTAGCAGAAAAGGCCACTCAAGATCATACGGAAGCTACTGTACAGCTGTGCCACTGTAGCAAGGACCCTCTTCATTTCATTATATTTACTTTACTGATATTTACTTTACTGATACTTTTATGTATAATGAGTGCGCACTGTTTAACATCTTTAAGGTTCTTGACAATACACAGGTAATTAAACGCTTGAACTTTGCAGTGTTAAAGTGGTATTATGGTCCATTGAAGTGTTGCAGTGGTAGCACTGTACGTTCATACAGTAAAGGGACTGATTTATAGTTTGGGCTCATCACTTTCTTTTCTTTTTCCTCCCATTTTTACTAAAAAATACACTTATTAGAGCAGATTGGTTTAAAATTGGTGTCTTTTTTTTATTTGGAGTCATTCTCTCTACCTGAGAAACATATTTGGCTCTTTAGCTAGTCACTAACGTTATCTGTCTGTCCTACAGTGGGTTTATCAGAGCTTGTTTGTTGAAACAAAGGGTCTGCTGCAGTTGGAAGTTAGGTTGATGAAAGCACTGAGAATGAGTCAAACATTAAAGCTGCTGTAAAACTAAAAGTATAAGCTAACCGAGGCTAAAAAGCACCATAGAGCTGCAGAGTTGAATGATAACAGCATCTTTTATGTCTTATTTTAATTAGAGCTTTAAATTTATGTTGACCCAGATTTTATCTCCCCATGTACAGCATCTGAAAGTTATCTCTTGCTGTAAGAAGACGCAGCAGTTCACACAAAAGTGGCCCTCTTGTTGTAGTGACAGCTCAGAAAATCTTTCTGGAAACAGAAAGGGAAACAAACTGAGGAGAAAATACGAATGGACTGCTGATTATGATCATGCTCGGAGGAAAGTTTGGTGAATCTCTCCTCAATAAATATGTGTTTTATTTTGCATCTTGTTTATCCTTCAGCAACCACACAAAGACACAGCCACAGACACACAAATGCAAAACCAGCGACAACAGAATTCCTCAGTGATCAAGAGTGAGCTCCACTGGCAATAATTTCGGTACTGGTCCCTCTGGTACAAGACATAACTGTGTGTGGGTGTCTTTGCACAGTACAGACCTTTGCATTTCCCCTTGTAAAATTAACTCATCATTTGGCATTTTAACGGTTGTAAGCTGTTTCCAAACTTGATGTGCTGCAGCTGCTGAAGCAATATCGGCTCAATGTCGTTAAGACTCCTGCGTTTAAATAAGTTTATGGGACATTTTTCATGTTGCTCCTGTAGACATAGAACATTACAGGCAGAACAAAATACAGTATATGTAAGATTCCTATTCATAATGTGCATGAACACAGTCTACTCGAGCCATTTTTCCACTGCAGGAGCTTAGTAAAACATAAAGTTGTCATGGGGTTTCCTTTATTGTAAGGGTTTCAAACTCCATGAACTCCATGTTTCAGGTGTTGTCAAACCTTATAGGTCAAGCAAATGATGGATTACTAGAATAAACACAAAACAAGAACCACCAACCGCATTTGCAACAACTCCTGACCACTGAAATGTGCATTTCAAACAACCATGTTAAAGTCCTGACAGGTAGCCTTGGGAAGAAGATAGAGCTAAGAGACAAACCCGTATGTTACAGTGCTTGGGAAAATTGGAGATGCACTATAGGGCTAAATAATATAGGTAAACATCAAACAAGATTATGCAAAGACCACAAATCAAAGATCTCAACAGAGACTGGAGCAAACAAAAAGAACAAGAATCACGATTTGTAAAAGACAGTGAAAGAAATACGCTCTAAAGTCTTAAAACATTTTTAAATATTCGGGTTATAGAAACTTT